GTAGCGAGGAGGAGGAGGCGGGAGGAGGAGCAGGAGGAGGAGGCGGGAGTAGTAGTAGTAGTAGTAGTAGTAGTAGTAGTAGTAGTAGTAGTAGTAGTAGTAGTAGTAGTAGTAGTAGTAGTAGTAGTTAGCAGTAGTAGTTAGCAGTAGTAATAGTAGTAGTAGTAGTAGTAGTAGTAGTAGTAGTAGTAGTAGTAGTAGTAGTAGTAGTAGTAGTAGTAGTAGTAGTAGTAGTAGTAGTAGTAGTAGTAGTAGTAGTAGTAGTAGTAGTAGTAGTAGTAGTAGTAGTAGTAGTAGTAGTAGTAGTAGTAGTAGTAGTAGTAGTAGTAGTAGTAGTAGTAGTAGTAGTAGTAGTAGTAGTAGTAGTAGTAGTAGTAGTAGTAGTAGTAGTAGTAGTAGTAGTAGTAGTAGTAGTAGTAGTAGTAGTAGTAGTAGTAGTAGTAGTAGTAGTAGTAGTAGTAGTATAGTAGTAGTAGTAGTAGTAGTAGTAGTAGTAGTAGTAGTAGTAGTAGTAGTAGTAGTAGTAGTAGTAGTAGTAGTAGTAGGCACTGTGCCCTCGACTGGGGGGGGGGGGGGGGCAAACCGTTGCCTTCGGGTCGAAGGCCAGGGTGGCTTGGTGGGCGGTGAGGTGCGCGGCCGTCGGGAGAAACCCGAGGGCCCCAGGCCGAGGCTGTCTGCGCAGGTCATGCGACGCCTTCGGGCCTTCGAGAGTCGAGGGCCGAGGCTCGCAGATCTCGGGCCGAGTGTCGACGGAGGAAGGTTCAGGTCGGGCCTGTCCCCCTACAGGGGGATTTTGGACGAGAAGGGAAAATACGCAAAAATGCGCAGAGGATGCCCAAAGATACTAAAAAAAAAATGTCCCCAGACAATGTTTCGACTATTTTTGAATATCCCCCCTGTAGAGGGACAGGCCCGACTTGAAGGAAGGTCGGGGGTCGAGGGCCGAAAGACGAGGGTCGAGGCTCGAGGGTCGAGAGCAGGCGCTGCTCGCAAGTCGCCGATCGAGGAGCGCAGCTCGAGGGCCCTAGGCCAAGAGTCCAGGGCCGAGGCTCCAGGAGCCCGGGCCCCAGGGGCCCAGGGCCGAGGAAGGGGCCCCAGGACACACAAATAAATACACACAAATAAAACTATTCCCCCTATTTTCGCATATTTTCTGGTTTTTCCCAACCATCCTGTGGTGTTGGGTCCTCGTTTTGAAGAGACAGCGCCCCGCGTCCCACCTCCTCTCCTCCTCCTCCCCCTCCTCGCCCTCCTCCCTCCTCCCCCTCCTTGCCTCTGCTCTCGGCACACCCCTCACACGCTTCGTAGCCCCATAGGGAGCTCCACCGAAGGTCCCAGTGGCACAACCCGCATGCGGTTCCCCCACCCAGGGCAGCGCTTCGTAGCCCCATAGGGAGCTCCACCGAAGGTCCCAGTGGCACAGCCCGCATGCGGTTCCCCCACCCAGGGCAGCGTTTCGTAGCCCCATAGGGAGCTCCACCGAAGTTCCCAGTGGCACAGCCCGCATGGGGTTCCCCCGCCCAGGGCAGCGTTTCGTACCCCCATAGGGAGCTCCACCGAAGGTCCCAGTGGCACAGCCCGCATGCGACTCCCCCTGGCCCCATAGGGAGCTCCACCGAAGGTCCCAGTGGCACAGCCCGCATGCGGTTCCCCCACCCAGGGCAGCGTCTCGTAGCCCCATAGGGAGCTCCACCGAAGGTCCCAGTGGCACAGCCCGCATGCGGTTCCCTCACCCAGGGCTGCGTTTCGTGGCCCCATAGGGAGCTCCACCGAAGGCCCCAGTGGCGCAGTTCGCATGCGTTCCCCCCCACCCAGGGCAGCGTTTCGTGGCCCCATAGGGAGCTCCACCGAAGGTCCCAGTGGCGCAGTTCGCATGCGTCCCCCCCGCCCAGTACAGCGTTTTGTGGCCCCATACGGGGCTCCCCCGAATGCGATACCCACAACTGCATATGGTTGGGTCCTTCGCCAGGCTAATTGTCTTCCCCCCCCCTTCCCATATTTTCCCATCTTTTCCTGGGAGTGGACGATTAATTGTGTCTGTGTGTTTTTGCCCCTCCTGAGTCGAGGATGCCCGGAAGTCGAGACTCGAGAGGCGAAGACCGAGGGCCCAGGGCCAAAAGGCTCCAGGGCCGAGGGCCCGGGAGCGGAGTCTCCCGTGGCCTCCGGTGGCCTCCTGGGAACGCGCCTTGGCCTCCGCCGCCGCCGCCGCAGTCGGCGCCGCCGGCGTCGCCGCCGCCGCCGCCCCGTGGAGGAGAAGGCCGCCTCTTCGGCCCAGGCCGCCGCGCGCGAGGCGCGGCCCTCTCCCCGCGCCCCTGCCGGTGGCCCCCCTGGCCGCCGGGCGCCTCTCCGCCTCCGCACCCGCCTGGGGGGCCCCGCCCCGGAGCTCCGACGGCCGAGCGGCGCACGGCGGCGCCTCCGCGTCGTCCACGGACGCGCGCGCGATGTCGCGCAGGCGCGCCACGTTGCCGCCCAGGCGCCCGACGACCGCAGCCGTCTCCCCCTCGCGGGGGCCAAAAGGTTGAGCAGGGACCGACCGTCCCGGCATTCCTGCAGGCCTGCCAGGACATGTTCTTAGAAGCCAAACGTGTTCTGAGAACCTGAACCATGCTCTCAGAACACAAGCCCGATGTGTTAAAGCAAGGCCGGTCCCAGCCATGAGTGTTCTGAGAGGATTTCGTGGAAACCGCAAAAGGTTCTTAGAACATTGCTTGGTAGGCCTAAGGCGAGCTAAGACGCCTCGCCACCCTGATGGTCCGCTACCGAAAATTTCCGGTAGCGCTCCGCAGAGATCGGTCGCTACCGAAATACCGAAATGTAGCGCCCAATGCCGGTATCAGAGCGTTCTGAAATCCGCTATTTCAACGCCCTCAAACGGAGATCCGGTCGCTACCGAAATTCGGGGTGCGTCGAAATCGCTACCGAAAATTTCCGGTACCAGACCATCTGGGCACTGCTTGAGGAGGCCCGCCCGCTCCTCCCGATCCTCCGCGCCCTCGCCCCGGCCGCCGGAGGGGCCCGCACCGTCCGCCCCAAGCCCCCCCCCGCGCGGAGGCAAGGAAGCAGAGTCGGAGCAGCGGGGGGCGCCTCCCAAAAGCTCCAGCTGCGGTGAAGGCATTTTTTAACTCTTCGAGTAGGCGAACCCACGTGGTCATGCATGCATTCACGACGACGACGACGAGACGACGGCGACGGCCCGCCCCACGAGCTCGGCACCGCGGTGGCCAGACCTGGGCATAGCCAGACCTGGGCCCACCGCACCACTACGAGCCCCACGGCGCCGCTCAGCAGTCCACCGCTCAGCAGCGGTGAGGGCATTGGACGAGGAGCCACTGGATGAGGAATCCAGGGTGGGGAAGCTGGTGGAACGCCAATCGTGGAGTGGCCATGGATATCACCCCCGACCTCGTCAGACAAGGAAGCCTCCAGGGTCTGAGGTGCCTGACCGTATGGGTAGGGGGGACCTGCGACAGGGAGGGTGCATTAGGAAGGCCTCAATTACGGCCGGTGCCGCCGACACCGAAGGGGGGAACGGCGACGGCGACGGCGGCGGCGACGACGACGCTGACGCTCTGGAGCCCTTCTTGGGGCTCTTGTGGAAGCCTAGGGGGACCTACGACGGGAGGGTCGTGCTCCTGCTGCCGCTGCTGCTCCTCATCATCGTCCCCCGTCTCGCCCGACGCCGCTCGATTCGTGCTGCACCTGCTCTTCTTGCGCACCCTACTCCTGTTCCTGCGCCTCCGCCCTCGCTTCCGCCTCCTGCTACGTAATCCGCCCCCTCCTCCTCCCTCCTCCTCCTCCTCCTCCTCCTCCTCCTTCTTATCCACTCTCTTCCCCCTTTCCTGACACCCGCGCTCGTCCTCGTCCTCGTCCCCCTCCTTCTGCTCCTCCTCCTCTCCCTCCTCCTCCCCCTAGCTCGTGGAGTGGGTGTTTAAAGTCAAGGCGCATGTGGAAGAATCTAAGGATCTCTCAGTGCAGCGATTTTTTGTTACACTGGGAACGACCAGGCTGATTTAGTTGCGAAGCGCACGATTGCCAGACACCCTCAGCCCACGCCAGAGGATGTCCCTTGGCTCACGCGAGCGCTCAGAGTCTCACAATGCGTCGTGCGCCTGTAAGCTATGTTGCTGTCCGGGTGGCCAAAGCTCGATCTTAAAGATGTGCCACTTTTCAAGCCGCCTGCCAAGGTCAAGCCGACGGCTGTGGAGGAGCCAAGTCATGACTGGAAACCTGCGAACTATTTTCAAGGCACGTACTGTTTGCAGGTAAGCAGAGGCACGCCAGCCACAAATAGCAGGCCTGTCGTTGTTGGGTATGTAAGGCCAAGCGCCTGGGCCAGCGATCCCCCGCCCCCTGGTGTCTGTACTGGCTTAGACAAGCTTGACCCTGTTCAACTTGCCAGTCTCCAGCACCGCTGCCTCTCTCTCAAATGCTCCGCCGGCGCGGTGATGGCCATTGCCTCAAATGTAAAGCTTGCACTGGGCACGGGCAGCCGAGAAATCTTCTGAGGCGATGTGAGGAGGCGCCCCAGTCGGGATGTGCCAAGTCTGCGTGGGTCATCTTTCGCAAAGGCAAGCACACCAAATTTTCGGGCGTCAGGACGAGGAGGAGAAAGAGGAGGAGGAGGAGAAGGAGGAGGAGGAGGAGGAAGAGGAGGAGGCGGAGGAGGAGGAGGAGGAGGAGGAGGAGGAGCAGCGCGGCCCTTGGACTGACCGACTGTTGGCCCCCGTCCAGGTGTAGCCTGGCATCCCCTCGGGTGCCAGGTGTGCCTGTGAGGGGCCACCCGCATGGGTCTCTGTGCTGTGGCCCTCCCCCTCGGAACCCACCACAACCCGTGGCCGCGCTCGACCTTTGGCCTCGATTGAACCGAGGATGCATGCAAGGTGTCCTCACCAGCCTGTTGCTTCTTGCGCGCTCTTGTCTCGCTCGCTCGAGGTGTGGGCCTCATTCGAGCTTGAGTGGATGCCTGCCTGGTGCCGTCACCTGCTGTGTATCCAGGTGGAGGTGTCCTCACCCTTTTCTGCGCTGTGGGTGAATGTATAGCTTCAGCCGCTTCGCTGTTTGATCGAGCTTCTATTGCTGCGCTCACAACTTGTTGGTAGCACCTCCCAGCTAGAGGTGCTGCGCCGAATCCTCGCTGATGTCAAAAACCCTCCTCCTCCTCCGCCTCCCCCCCCTCCTGATCCTCCTCCTCCTCCTCTTCCTGCTCCTCCTCCTCCTCCTCCTCCTCCTCCTCCCACTCCTCTTCCTCGTGATCCACCCTCTTCCCCTCTCCCCTGCCTCCATGGAGGTTGGGTAGGCAAAAACGGCGTCGATGTGTCGTGGTCAGCGACTGCGGGCCGCGTCCGAAAGAAGGGCCCCGGGCATGCTTGGTACGTGTGACACCAGCGTGTGACACCAACGGGAGACATGCCCATTACGCCTCGGGAGAAGGACGGGGGAGGAAGATGAGGAAGAGGAGGAGGAGGAGGAGGAGGAGGAGGAGGAGGAGGAGGAGGAAGAAGAAACAAAAACAACTGAACGAGCGAGCGAACGCCCATCCGGCTCAAGTGCGGGACGGACGGCGCTCATTCAGACGGAGGGAGACGACCAGTAGCACGTGCAAGCGCGCGAGAATAATCTCGTGCCACAGTCACGGACTTATCGTCCGTACGTCCGCCACGCTGAAGTACGTTTCGCCGAAGAAGAACATCCGATCCATCCGAAGAGAGCCCAACGCGAGAGCTTTGATGGAGGAAGGGCCCATCCACGATCCAGCACCGGCCCGAAGCATAAGAGGCCCGACCAAAGAGCGGCCGCCATGCCATGCGAGGCGGAGGCGCGGACCTCTGTGCCCCCTGGAGGCCACGAGGGCGACCAGGGGGTCCGACAACGTTCGGCCCTAGGAACCAAAACAAGATCTAGGGCCCCCCCCCCGCAGCCGTCGGAGCCCAGCCGTGCCCGCGCAGCAGCTCCGCGACGTAGTGGATGGCGGGCGGCGGGCGGCGGGCGACACGACGGGCGACGGGGGGAACTCAACAGGGCGGGGGCGGAGGCCTGGGGTCCTCGGGGGGCCCAGGAGCGGATAACGTCACCTCAGGCGACGCGTCCTCCGCGAGCTTAACCAGTCCTTGGGTGCAGCCCCCTCTCTAACCGCTTGACCGCCTGCCTCTGGTTGACATGGGTAGATTTGTTCGCTGCAGGGCCTTTACATTCAGTGAACAGCTTAGGGAAAGTACCGAGCTCACCGTGCGCCCCACAACGCCTGCATGCGAAAACCGCAGCGAAAGAAAAACAGTCATGGCCCAGCTCAGCAAACTGAGCCAGCACACTACAGGTCCCACTCTCAGGCGTGGGGTGCCTTTCGGGCCCAGGGGCACCAGGGAGGAGCAAATCATCAAGCCCGAGAGCAGCCCTCACAGCCTCAGCCCGAAGCGGGCGAAACGAAACGGCCCCAGGGCCCGAAAACCAGAGGTCGCAAACGTGTTGCTGGATCAGCGAGGGCTCACATCTGCGACTGTTGGCCCCAGTCAAAAGGGCACGGAGAGAACATTCGGTCCTCGCACACTTGCCACAACGCCTGCAATGCCACTCGCTGCGGTCAGCAGTCTCCCAAATCACATGCTCGGTGACGGTGATGGCCGGGGGAGCAGGAAGAGAAACTAAACGAGGGGGGGAACCGTACTCACCACCGTCCACCGTCCAGCTGCAACAAGTCTCTGCGCCGCCCAGGCTAAAAACTGCAGGGTGCTTCGGTGGTACTTCAGTTAACCTTGCATCGCCTGCGCATACGTCTCTGACACCGAGTGGGGCGAAGCACCAGGCTTCGCGAACAAATCTGCCCAGAAGTTCCCCGCCCACGTTTGCAACCACGCCCCCTCCTTCAAAACGTCGTCCAAAATTCTGTGGGCGGGACACCATGAAAACTGTGGCCGACTAGGTATCTGCAGGCCTTGGGTACGTCTCCATATACATGCATGCTTGGCTGTGCCAAGAGCAAGTTCAGGACTCCATGCGAGGCGGAGGATGAGGAGGAGGAGGAGGAGGAAGAGGAGGAGGAGGAGGAGGAGGAGGAGGAGGAGGACTGCTATGGACTGCTATGAAAAAAGGGGGCACTGTCCAATGCGAGACCGAATCGCTGACCGTCCGCTGAGCTTGGTCGGAATCGTCAGGAACAGAACCATCCCTCCCGCCCGTCCCAGCAGCAGCAGCACGGGCCTCCTTGCGGAGGGCCTGGGCGACGTGCTGTCAAAGTGCACGCTGCCGCTGCTGGTCTGGGCCCTCTCCGTGAGCGTTGCCGGGGGGTCTGAGCCAGCTGGGCGGGAGGGGGAGAGGACGGCCCGACCCCTGGCGTCGGACGGCCGCCCTGGGGGCAACGAGCGCTGACCAACTGAATCCCGATCCCTTTATCTCGCGCCGCCATCGCCCCCAGAATCGCCTCGGGTGGGTTCTCCATCCTCGGCTCATCTCTTCTCTGAATTTCCTTGACGTTCTCGACCCCCTTCGGGGTCATCCCCAACATTC